TCTGCCAGCTTGTGACAGGAGTTTGTCACGTCATCCTTGGATTTTGGCCCAAACTCGACTCATGATGGGTCCAAAGACCGCCTACTTCTCCCCCCCCCCCCCAAAAGACATTTGAAGCTCCAGAATATATCCATTGCCCATAAGTTTGTGGATACGTAAGGAATCCATCAGCTTTGACTTGTGATCCCCTAGCATTTGCATTGAAGAACAGTACGAACTCATTCGCTTCTGAAAGCGTAGGATGTTTCTGTTTAGCAATAATATTATTATATTGGAAATTTGTAGAATGATTAATTTTCTTTTATGGTATGAGTTTAATTACTTTATAATTTTTAGTTTCAAATTAAGTTTATAATGATAATTCTGTATACATAGTATATGATATCTTATATAATATATAATGTTATATATGAATTTTTTTTATGTTGAAACATGCAACTTTTAAAGTGTTAGTAATACTTATAAAAAATTATGAAGATGTTCTCTGGGGAAAATTTTGAAGATTAACCATGGTAGAAAATATTATCCTTAAAGTGATCCAAATAACAAAAATACTTTCACCAATGTCATCCAAAGAACAAACATTATTTGATTTTCTGAAAAATGTCTTCCACATAAAATTTTCCTTCAAGAAGCCAATTTTTGGTCGCCAAATGGAACCTAAAGTGATATTTATTCTAGTTTTAAATTGAATAATGAAATTATGATTTTCTTTTTACATATATTAAAGTGAATTATTTCTAATAAAAACTAATTTTTGTTTAAATAGGTTATTCTTTAAAAAACCAAATAGATCAATAATAATGTTAATCATGTTAAATTGTGTCGTGTAAAACTTAATTCATTTTGTTTAATAAATATATTAATTGTATCATATAATGCATATAATAAATGTGTTCATAATCTTGGACATATTTAATTAATTGTGATGTTTGTGATTATTCATATAATTCTTTATACCATATCCATCATATTACACGAAAACACTTGTGAACTCTAATGTACAAGGAGGAAGGGCCAATTTCAGCATACATTTTTCAGAATTTTTAAATACTTGCGAAACAAGAGTTGCACTTGACAGTTTTTTATATCAAGTACAGAAGCGAATTCTGTGAACTCTTATCAGTTCTTGAAAAAAAATTTTCCATCATATTGCAAAAAAAAAAAAAATTTATTCAGGAAGTTTTATCATCCCTTTTGAGCTGACCAACATGAATTAAGGTGAAACTGTATGCATACACATACCAAGTGTTATTTGTCATATTCTAAGAAAGTGAAAATAAATTTTTTTAATAAAATTTGTGATGTGTATTACATATTAAATAAAAAAAAAAAAGCAAGAGAGTGAAAAAGATTTGGGATCTTTATTTGATTAAACTTATACAATGATTTTTATTTGATTAAACTTATTACCTAATAACAACTAGTCTTATGTAAGTTTGTCAAAATCTAACTTATAATAACAACATTTAAATAATTATTACTCTTAACAAATAATTCTAAACAAAAGATAATGAAAAAAAAAAAAAACAAATATAATCAGATAATTCTAAATAAGAAATATAAAATATTATTTAAAGAAAATGGTTTATGTCATGAATAACTCATAAATTATAATAAAATATTTAATATGATACTTAAATTTTAAAAATCTCTATTATGATATATAAACTATGAATTTATTAACTAATGTAGTATTTAAATAATTATTTATTTATTAGATGTCATCATTTGAAGCTAGATATGTTAAGATTGAATAATACATTAGTTAATATAATTATAGTTTAAATATCACATTAAATATTTTTATAATTAAAATATTATATTAAATATTTTATTATAATTCGAGGACCATTTATGATAGTAACCCTAAAAAGAAATCTATATCAAGCTGTTAACTAATCAAACTTAATTACATATCTCATAATTTGTAAATGTGGGCTTCTTTATTAAAATGCAACTACAGCTCTTGAACTAACAGATGATCTTTTATAATGTCAAAATATTTCAATATAATTATATATTAAATAATATTCCTAGATTGCATGAACTTAAATAAAAAAAAAAAAAAAGAAAGGATTTTGTTAACGAGTACCGTATGAACTTAATAATTTTCAACGTATTGAATGAACATAACAATAAGTGAACTTAACAAAAGTCTTTAGGACGCTTGTTAGTAAAATACATAGTAAAATAACAAAAGAATGATTACTCCGAATTAAAAGAGAGATAAATAACTAAAAAGGCAACGGAAATGGGTGCGAAGAAGCATGTGAAGCAATTAGAAATGTAGATGAATCTGAAAATTTTATTTTCAAGGGCAATTATATTTCTTAAATTTGGTCTGTTAACATAAAGGAATCAAAACCCTCTCCGCATATAAAGCAATGTTCTGGATTCATGGATCTTAAATTTCTCTATGATAACGATTGCATTGATTTTCCTTGACAATCGGAGACAAAGCAATTTGCCATGTTTTAGCGTGAAGGTTTCCTTTTTTTTTTTTTTTTTTTCTGTCCCAAACTTTCCTTAAACTAATGTAACAAGTGAGATCCAGGGTGTCTTCCACTTGCTTTTGATAAAGAAGATTTTGGTGAACCGAATCAAGACAGACACCCTGTGTTTTTTCTTTTCTTAAATCTCCCAAAAGTCCGGTCCTGTCACAATTGTTGATCAGCTGTGACTTCCAAAGTTCAAACATTTAATATAGTAACAATTTTTTATAGCCAAAAACTTGACTTAAAATTTGGTTGAGATCATGTCCCATTTCGGAACATAAAATTCCACTTTATTTTCGATTATTTATTGGATTTTGGGTTACTAAAATATCTTTTAGATTTAGTACAGGATTTTTTTTTTTTTTTTTTTTAGTTTCAAAGGGGCTAGTGCCCGTACAAGGGGGAGGGGACATGGCGGGGATTAAACCCTCGCCTAGATGACTTTCTAACGGCCTTTTAATCACTTGGACTGAGAGGGAAAAGTTTTAGTATAGGATATTTTATTAACAGGAAAACACCTCAATTTATTTTTCAATGTTGGATTAATTGAAGAATGATAAGGAATTTATGATAACTATATTATTGCCATTTTGGTGAGCAGTTATTCAGGTGTAGAGCGTCTGTATTTGAGTGGGTTTGTTATTAAAAGCATTGGAGGTTGATGTATTTTAGATTGTTCATATTTTGAGCGATTAACTTAATTATTATAAAATCAATTTGAGATTAGTTAAATCAAGTCAGATAGTTGAGTTTAATATTGAATTATTTGCACTTCCCCTTGCATCCAATAAATACAAAAAGAAAAGAGGGAGCGGGGTTGACCTCTTTGCCCATGTGACTAAACATCTAATTTAAGTTTCAAGTCGAGGAACATCAGATGATTTATTATTTAAGAAAATTGCACATGCCAACGAGATTTTGGTTAGGGATAAAAAAGAGATTTTGAAATTTTGAGAATTGTCAATCAAATAGATTTGATTTAATGTTCTATTAAATTTATTTAATTATATGTTGATTTAATAAATTTTTTTTTCATTTGATTCAATTTATTGATTTCTTTTTTTTTTTTTTTTTGTGGTAGTAACTTCATAAGAAATGCAACATTTGGAGTCTCAATTTTGTGATTCTGTCAAATTTTTTTTTTTTTTAATTTTCTGGCTGTTGCCATCACTTAAATTTGTTCTTCCTAACTTTCTATATTAGATTTTGCTTTGGTTGATTTTTGAACAACGAAAAGTTAATAAGTAAAGACATATATTTTGTTTAAACAGTTTACTCAACATTGAATTTCACGATTCTTACGTCAAAATCATGAAGGGAGAAGGCAAGTATTAATTAATTAATTAATTAAAGAACATCTTTAGATCTTTGGCTCAAACCTTAAAATGAGATTTATGAGAAGAAAGAATGTTACTTCTCATGATTGCGGGATCCAGAATTTTTTTTGGGTTTTCATTTATAACATATAAAAAATATAAAATAAAATAAAATATTATATTATTATAATTGTTCATGATGAGTTTGAATATTAGAAAAGAAAAACATAATTGTATCATTGTTAGTAATATTAAATATATTTTTTAATATATATAAGTAAACAATTATTCAACAAAAAATTATCAACAGATTTGTTAAGTTTATTGACAGAAATAATATCTGATGGATATTTATGAAAAAAGTTTTACTTCAAATTGTTTTAGTTTTCCATCCGCCCCTGCTTTTCATTGTGTAACTTAATATCGCTTGTTTACATTTACTTAATGATTTATTTATTAAAAAAATATATAGTTACTTATAATATGATTTAATATGAATCTATATAAATGTGACTTGAAAGGTACCAAACTTTTGTGAAAATAAAAATATTATCACTTTACTTGAATTTCTTAAATTGTCGACCGATTTTCATTTTATAACTTAGTTTTTAACTTTTCAATATTAATTTTAATCGCTTACAATTGAGAGTGTCAATCTTTTGAGAAGAATAAAGTAGTATAACATTTATTGCTCTCTTGCAATAGGATTTTTTAATTTGTTAAAGCGTTAGGTCAAATTAAAACTTCTTTTTTTTCTGGGTAGTAGATGGTTATATATTCAGCTTGCTTAAGGATAAATACATGATTCTACTTTTCGGGGTTTTTTTTTTTTTCTTTTTTTTGAAATAATTCATAGAGTTAGATTCAAACCTCCCACCCTCGAATAAAGAAAATATCTATACATAAATTCGTAACTTAATTTTAGGTTCAAAGTTGTACATAAAAATTATTTGATGAAAAGAAAATATATTTAGTAAATAATATAAAGTAGAAGAAAAATTCACTTATATCAGTGTAAGTTTTACATATTTTTATTTTTGAATCAAAACGGCTTAAATTAAAAATATTATTTTAGTTTAAATTAGTCATTAATTTAATTTGAATTCAAATGATGAAAGATGAGTGAAAATTTTACAGTGATGTAACTGAGTCTTTACTTTATAAAGTATATAATAATATATAATATTGATAAATTGGATAATGATCCCATAAAAAAAATACAAAGTACAGCAAGAACAACCAGTCCCAATACAACCTTAAACAACATTCTCTACTAAGTTTCTCTTTAAAAAATTTTAAGCAGTGGGCTGCTAAAGCAAACTTCACAAGAAGTTTGACATGAGCAGAAATAAAAGGTCGACGTAAATACCATGTGATAATAAAAGATGTGGTTATTTTCACGGATTGGATCAGTACTCTGATTTTAACACTAAACTGACTGAGATGAGAGCCCTTCTCTATTACATGTGTTTTCCAATTGTATTTATTCTTCGACTCAAAGTTGAAAAAAGTTCAAATCATTTTGGATTCGAAGATGAACATATGAACTCCCATGATTACCTCTTAGGTCCTCATTGAAGAAGTAACAACAACAACAACAACAACAACAACAGCAACAACAACAACAACAACAACAACAGCAGTGGAAAAAGTTAAGGAACAGGAACATCACATGACTATGGGAAATTAAATGGAAACACATACATAAGATCACATATTAATAGCAATTAGAATGCACACAACAAATTATATTTACTGCTGCCATTCACTCAGAGGCTAAATTAAGTAGACAAGTCATGATCAATCGCAAGGTTAAATTTTAGATGCGATCAATAGATTAGGTCACAACTCTAAATAACTTAGAGTTTACAGAGGAAATCAGTCTCCATTTTTGAAAATTTAAAGATAATTACAAAGGGGATGTATTCTAATGCTCTACCTACTTGCATGGATAATAACCTACAGTCAGAATTTCAAATGTCGCTCAACCACAAGATAAATTAAAGATCCAATCATTTTAAGGAAAAGAGAGAATAGTTTGGTCTAAACATGAAAAAGATCCAAAAGTTTTAACAATCAAACAGTTAATAAAACAGCTCAATAAAAATGGTTTCTGTACTCTAACCACAAAGATGTTGCTCACTCTCAATGTTACAAACATTGACACCCTAGTTTGTTTTACAAATAAAGAGAACTTCTGATTAGGATTTCATCAAGTGCCTTCTTATAGTTGGAGTTTAATATTTCAGCCACAAATGACCGAGAATGAAGACAGAAGATCATATCTTTCAGCACTATGCCTATGAATTTTACATGATTCTTTGATCAGAAATGCTGAGTGTTCTACTTCATACTACAGAATTTGTCATTCAACAACACCACAAAAGTTGCAGACGCCGTGAAATTTCAGAAAATCCAGCTAATGTTCATGGGGATTAAAATAAACTTAACGTAAGAAAATAAGAAAAGAAAAAAAAAAAGTCAGAGATCTCTGAAAGAGACCCTTCATAAATCAGGTCCAAAGTCTTCTATGGAGTCACACAATGTACAACGAGTACAATTTACCTCTACATAACACTGAACTAAAAAGAAGAAATGATTAACACAGAAGACAATTTTGGAACCTCAATACCAATTGTAACAAAGACACCAACTAGGGATTGTGTGCTTTATATATTTTTTCACCTGCAAGCTCAAAATTTAGCCATGTTGCCTCAAAACCACCTTGATGGCTGAAAGACCTCCCAGGCAAGCAGACTCCGAAATATAAGTTAACTAAGCCGATGCCCAAAATAAGCATTGGGTAACACAACCTCTAAGCAATCCAAATTAACCCAATAACACCAGGCCAAAGTAATTGCAAGCATTGATAAGCTTAGGAACTTATTCTCGGTTAGAGTGACGTCTCCATCATTGTCTGTCACCAGAAGCTGACTGAGAAAAACATACTGCCACTGACACTTAATTACATGTGTGGAAGTCTGCAGAACTGAAAATTATAAAAGAACTGACACCACAACCGACTCTAATGACTCCCAGAGTGTTGTAAAAAGCAACACCAGATTAAGTACACTACCCACCAGCTCAAGATGAAAACTTAGATTAAAATCGAAGTCCATGGCTAATTACCACAACCCCCGCAAGATCACTAAAAGAAAGGCCAAAAAGTCAAATGACCATCCACAAAGACTCTACATGATGAAACTCAAATAAAAGGACTAATCAAATAAAGAAGAAAAGCTGAATGATGAAAATGGAGTTTCATTGATTACCCAAGTTTTGAATCAATCATCCCCTGTTGGAAATAAAGTAAGAACCTTCCTTCCACCATTCCCATTGGCAGATTCCAAATCTTCCAAATAATTACTTGTAACTTGATTATGCACGGGTGCCCCTCCCATCCTATGCATTGGCTGCTGGGTCTGCCTACCTAAGAAGGGATGCTCAAATTGACCATTCGGTGATGACCCAAAATGCCCCATTTGCCTATGATACTGAGTCTGCAAATGCGGATGTCCAACTGCTGCTGCCACCATCTGCTGTTGCTGGTGATGATGGTGATGCTGCACTGCGGGCACTGGCACAAACGGCAAGAAATGCTCTGAATTACCCCTAGCAGGATGAAGAAAATGAGGGGGAACCGGTGAGCTTGCAAACAAGTGGTCAGTCGCTGGATCAGCCGTGCCACCTAATCCAGCAACGCCAGCTCCACCGTTGGCACCACCACCACCTCCCCCACCAGATAAGCCTTGCATTCTCTTCAAATAAAGGCGATATTTCTGTAAATGACTAGCAACGTTTTCTCTGGTCAAACCATCAACACTCATCAACTGCATTATGGTCTTCGGGACAGCGTTCTTGATCCCCAAATGAGCCACGGCGTCAACGAATCGCTTGTGGAGCTGTGGGGTCCACACGAGGCGAGGCCGCTTGAGAGTGCGTGCCGGCTCATCTCCAGCTGCCCCAGACCCCAAGTCCCCGGAATCGGCGGCGAATTCAGCTGAAATGGGCTGAGAAGGAGGCTGCACGGCTGAGGAATGTAAAGGAGGCGGTGGCGGAAGCTGCTGCTGTTGTTGTTGTTGTTGTTGGTGGTGGTGGTGGTGGTGGTTTGGGTTTCGAATATCGAAGGCGAGAGCAAGATCAGGGGTAATTAGGGTTTGGGAAAGAGGCATCAGCTCTTCCGGGGATGGAAGCTGCTCCTCCCATTTTGAAAACCAATTTGAGTCTTCCTCTCTCATTATTATTCACAAATAATAATTACAATTACAATTAAAAAGAAACAGATCCAAACCTAAATTTGGACCAACAGCCCCTAAATCTGCTGCAGTAACAAACAAAAAGATTATCAAATTTCAGAATTTATTTATTTATTTATGTATGGAATTAGGATATGACTAAAAACACAGTAATTAAAAATTAAAGAAAAGCAAGCAATACTCACAAAACGAAGTACAAGAAATCCAAGAGGAAGATTGGGTTTGGTTTCCTTTGGAGTTTGGATTTGAGGTCAGAATCAGAAGAGAGAAAATTTTGATTAGAGTGGAGGGAGGTTCGAGGTGGATCCTGTTCTCTTCTTTTCAGCTTTTATTATGGCTACTCTTTCTGATTTTTTTTTTCCGGGATTTAGGTTGTGTTTTTCTTTTTTCTTTTTTTTTTTTTGGGAAACAATTGGCATAAATAAGTTACCCCAATCTTAGATTATAGAGCCAATATGCAGCGAATCATTGCATCACACAAAGACAGGTTATCGATTAAAGCTTGAATCGGACACAAAATCACTTGTTTGGACTACCAATCATATGTCTTGACGGGATCTTGTTCCTTTCTCTATCTCATTATTTTTGTCTTTTTTTTTAGATATTTTAAAATTGTGCTTTTTTTTTTTCTAAACATCTAAAGTTTTTATTTTTTATATATTAAAATTATTTTTTTATGATTTTTTTACCTTTTAATATTAAAAATTATAAAATTTTAATTTTATAAAAAAATTAAAATTTAATATCAAATACATTAAAATTAAAAAAAATTAAATTCTGTAAAAATTAATACAAAACAAATAAATTGAAACAGAAAGAATATTATTATTTTTCTTTTACAAATACAAGAGTTTAGAATAGAGGAGAGAGACATTAGTGTGAGAAGTTTTTTTTAATTATATAATTATAATCAAATATTACATTTATATATATAAATTATTTAATAATAAAAATTAATTAATAAATAAATTAAAATATAATTAAATAAATTTAATATAAAATTAAATCAAAATCTGCAAATAATAAAAGTTATATTTATTATCTCAAAATTCTAAAACGCCTTCCACGTCACTAAACTAATGCATTAACCTCGATTCAAGAACATTTTCAGTTTTTTCTTTTTTCTTTTTTTTGTTGGTGGGCGTTTGGTTGGTGAGGTATTTATCTCGGCCTTGGCCTTTTGGGCCTTCCTTGACATCTTTCATCTTACTTTCTTTTTTGTTTTGCAAGAAAAAACTCTTTCCATTACGAAAGGTTTAACTTAAAAGAGAATCTCTTTATATAAACTAGAGTGAAGTCCAAGTTTCACCGAGATTTTCAATTTTTATAATATTTTTTAAATTATTACTATTGTTATGAATAAATATTGTAAAAATTTTATAAAATCTATATAATATTTGAAAAAAAATTTGTGAAATATCAATTGATAGATAAAATACTTAACTTTTAAAGCATTTTGAAGTTTAAAAGGTACATTGGAGAAAATCATTATCATACGAAGAAAAGTGCATTCAACAATGAAAGTGTTTTTCGTCTCTTTTTACTTGGAAAACTTCATAAACAACTAAACACAATAATAAAAATGATACAATTGAACATCAAATTTAATCCAAAAAATTATTGATATAAAAATGAACAATCTTAGACCTATTACCCAAAAAATCAAGGTTAAAACAAAATGACAATTTGGATGGTAAAACAACATAAATCATTCACAAACTTAGAGGAAGATGCATGCAAAGATATATTACTTTTGTGTAAGATATGCAAAAGTAGATAATTAAAATTAAGTTATCCAAACATAAATATAAGCACTCATCTGTGCTCGGTCTATTGAATTGATTTTTGTTGTATTACATTACTATACCATATTATATTATTATATTATTATTATTAGATGTTATTTATTATATTATTATTACATTATTATTATTATTATTATCGTAGATTATATTACCATTATTATCATTAATATTATTATTGTTGTTGTTGTCGTCATTATTTTTTTTTGTTTTTTATTTCCTTTCTTATTCAATCGGGGACAAAAATTTTGGAAACCAAAACTTTGCAATCAACCAAATCGATGAAAGTCAATGGGCAATGGATTTAATGCAAAACCAAATCACAAGATTCTCAATTTGATCTAGAAAAATCAACAAATAACCTAGACCTGAACTGAGGTTCAAGCAAAATCAAATTCTAGGATTCAAGCTTGGATTGGTTCTGTTTATTTTGTAAAAACCGTCTTAAAGGGGCTTATAAAATGGATACAGTTTAACAAAAGAAGGCACAATTGATTTTAGAAAAAGGGGTGAACTTTATGTTCTGAAAATTTTTTAGGCAGTAGGGAATTTTTGAGATTTTGATTTTGGGAATTCTGGGTTCGATTTGAAGTTTTTGGGTTAGATTTGGGTTTTTGGGGTTTGGATTAGGGTTTTGGAGAGTTTTTGAAGAAATATGGGTAAATTTGGGAAAATATGAGATTTTTTTGGGAAAAAAATAGGTTTTTAAAAGAACTTTGAATTTTTTGATTAAATTTTTCCATAGAAGTTGAATTTTTTGACGAGTTTTCAATGATTTTTTTTGGAAACCGATGAGTTTTTCAAAATTTGGTTGAATTTTTAGGTTCTTTTCTATAGAAAGGTCAGAGGATCCTTAGCTAGAGAAAGAGATAACAAAGGGCTTCTAAGGTAAAAAATGCTAAACTTGGCTTATATAAGGCTCCAAAATGATGTCGCTTTACCAAGCCTAGATCAGCACATAACTAGATTGGGATCCGTACGCCACCAGGGTCTAACCCTACCCGCTCACATTTTTTTTTTCATTTTTTGATTTTTTGATTTAATTTTGATTTGATTTTGATTTTATATTTTTTTAGTTTTATTTTTAGTTTTTTATTTTACTAAATTTTCTTGATTAATTTATTAACAATTTCCTAAAAAAATAATAATAAAAGAATTAAAAAAGGATAATAAAAAAATCTTTTCTAATAAATTCATAAATTTTATCAAATTATTGGATAATTTTCAAGGATTCAAATTTTATAAAATCTACCAAACTATTAAAAAATTTCATAAATGAATTTAAAAAAAATAAAAAATGTTTTATCCTCCAAACAATTGGAGGATTACTTTTTAAAGTAAGTCTTATCAAACTATTAGGAGACTTAATGAACTTTTTCAAAAAATGAAACAAAATTTTTACAGATTTTTTTATAATAAAATCTTACCAAACTATTGAGAGATCTACCTCAAGATAAGTTTTTATCAAACTATTGAGAGACTTACTGATTTTTTTCAAATAAAATAATTAAAAATCTGATGACAAAATCTCTTTAGGGTGGGACACTAGTCTCCATGAATCTCTTGAGGTGAGAGTATTATCTTGAATTGCTACCAAATTATTGGGGCAATTTTAAGACTAATTTTCAATATTTAATATTTTGGTAAAAGCATGAACATTTTTTAAGGCTTAGATAATTTGGAATTAAACTGGTACCATTTTTGGATGGGTGCTGTGAAGGTACTATAACCTTCTTCATGCGTAACTTACTCTCAAACTTAAATCTGGTTTCATGGACCAAATCCGATCAAATAGTCAATCACACTTAAACAAAAAAAATTGGTGGTAACTTTTTTAATTCATGTCTAGTGGTAGGTCCACAGATCTATACATTATGACAGTTTGGTGACTCCACTGAAGAATCGAGAGTCAAGCGAATAAATAATTTTTTTTATTATCCAAGCCTTGCCTAATAAATTTTTAATTATTTTCTCTTTTTCTTATTTACTTTTTTTCATTGCTTATATTTGTTAGTTATTCATTTATTATATATATCTGTCATTTATTTGCATGTGCACAATATAAAGCTCTCCACCCGACTCTACCTTTAGAAGGGAGTGAAGTACCTATGCCCTTGTAAGATTTCACGTCTTTGTATGAGCCTGCAAAATACTCCTATTCAAATTTAATCCTTTTCACTTGTAATCTATGATGGGTGAGGATCAAAGTGCCTTATTAGTCTGTGATAGACAATGATATAAGGAATAATTTGAAAACCTTCTAAAAGTAATCCAAGCCACATATAGTTAACCTTAAAGGTCCAAACCTAAATAAACCCATGTTTTCCCTTTGTGCTAGAAAATCCTAAATTAAATACATGATTGGATATTTATTTTACTTGTAAGACTATGCATTGTCTTTTTAGTGTATATTTGTATACTAACCCTATATGTTGATCTTTTTATATTATTTTTTTATTAACCCTTTTTCTTTATCATGCACTCACATCATTAGATCTATCATAAGGAATATTTGCCATTATATAATTTTTAACAAGAAAAATCTCAATTGCATCCATGAAAGCGTAGCAAAGTACTCTACTAGCCAAAAAAGGGAGTCTGAAGAGTTAAAGCTTGCAAACAAAAGGCTAAAAATGAAAGTCCAAATATTGGAACAAGAAAAAGATAGATGGAAAAGTTTGTACATCGACCTTAATACAACACGGTCATCCATTAACCAAGAAGTGGCTTAACTTTTGTAAAAAAAAAAAAAAAAAACAATTACAAGTAAAACTACAAGAAAATGAAGTAATGCTCTTTGAAGCACAATGGCACATCTAAATGCTAAATGGAGTAGTAGTAGAAATCAAAATACAAATGAAGGCTGTGATTGAAGAATGTAAGCAAACAAAGGAAACATATATGAAAAAACATAATCAGTTGAAGTCTTTGCTTGATTGAATCATTGTGGCTATTTACAAAGCCAATAACATGGTGGAAATGATTGAAAAATGGAAAGCAAGGTGCCACCAGTGGGAGCACATGGTCAAAATTGATAAATTTTCTTAATGAAGTGCAAAGCTAATATCAACGGGTTATGGTTTTTTTTCCCAGTAGTTCTAGACTTTCACAGATGTAATGTTCGATTTGGTTAAAAGTGACTTTCAATTCAATAAAAATTTCTTTAATCACAATTGTTATGTGGTAAAATCTCCTTATTGCATTCATGCATTTTATTTTTTCATTCATTTAGGGATTCTATAAACATTATTTTAAATTTTCACATTGTGAAAAATCAAGATTTAAGGATAGCTCAATACTAATATTACACTTGGGCTAGAGCCAAGAAGATGAAGTAAGATAATACAAACTATTTTGAAGGGTTAAAAAAGGCTTAGGAAGTAATTGAGGTGAAGCTAAGTAAGATCATTGATGCTCTAAAAAAGATAAACAAAAAAAAAAGAGGTGGAAGAAGAAGTTCACATAAAATTATTAAATCACCATATCCACCAAGTTTTGGTCCACATCAAACCTAAACCACTCAAAATCTTCAGCCACAGCAGACCACGTTCCCGAATTACAAAATACCTTATGCCCTCCATCAAGGAAATGTTAAGAGTTATATCAATTCTATCTTCGCTGAAAAGGTAAATGAACCCATCCAAATTCCCAAAATAGACGAGACAAAAGAAGAAGTGAAGTTACGAACAGTTACACCTTTAAAAAACTCTAAGACTGATAAAGCTATGAGCATGATTGGGAAAAGATTACGGGCTATAAAATGTATTGATTTCTATGGA